TATATGTATATATTTGCTGCATGTTTTGTTTGGCAGTGAACTAGACACCCATGGAAAGGAAAAACATATACTATTTCCTTTAATACCTGAAAGCACACCATTCCAGTCAGTTTTACAAACAAGTTGGGCACCAGTTCCCCAAAATAATTTTCAGGATTAGATGAATAGTTCCCATATATCTTTCATTTTAAATAGTACTTCAAACTTTTTGAAAGGATCTTAAGGCCATAATCTTTTAAACAATCATTCATTTCTTTTAATAGGCAATGCATAACAAAGTCACTCCTACTCCATGGTTTACAAAAGAAAAAAGGATAACAAAATAAATCAAGAAAATAGTGTGATTATAACAAATGTTGGCAGGGTTGTGGGGAGAAAGGAACCCTCCTCCATTGTTGGTGGGAGTGCAGACTGGTGCAACCACATAGAAATCAATATGGAGATACCTCAGAGAACTGGGACTAGAGGTTCCATTTGACCCAGCCATCCCTCTGCTGGGTATCTATCCAAAAGAACTAAAAGAATCATATCGCAGAGAAGTATGCGCACCCATGTTTATAGCGGCACAGTTTGTAATAGCTAACACTTGGAAACAGCCTATTTGCCCATCCGTTGGAAACTGGATAAAGAAGATGTGGTTTTTCTATAAAATGGAATATTACTCAGCCAGAAAGAATGAGAAAATATTCATTCATAGGAAAATGGATGCATATTGAGGATATACTCTTAAGTGAAATAAATAAGGCACACATGTGTAAATACCGAATAGTTTTTCTGGTGTGAATAATCTGCAATAATACAGAATATCCTAATGAGATTACTGACATTGAGAAATAGGAAGAAAGGAGCTAAAGGTGTAGGGAAGGTGGGACAAGTAGGGGAAGGGTAATAAGGGAAAAGAAAAAAATGTGAGATAAAGAAAAGATGGAAATAAAGTGTTTGTAAATGGGGAGGGGAGGAGGGGGTGAAGGGAGGGCAGGGACAAGGGGAAAAAATGAGAACCAAGACCTGTCATGTAGAGGTACAAGATCCCAACAATGAATGCAACTGTACTGTATCCCTAAAATGTACCAATAAACTCAATTAAAGCTGGAAAAAGAAAAGAAAATAGTGTGAAAAGGTGACATTTCCGTTCCCATGCTCCCAATCATCTGATTTCCTGCTTTGGAAGAAACCATTTTTAGATTTCCAATGATGAATGTCATTATACTATATACCTAAAATGTATCAATAAAATAACTTTTTTAAATCTTAAAAATTTTTTTTAAATCATTTTTAGTTTTCATTTCTATAGGGTAACATATATGTGCATGTATTTCATCTTTGTGTATTACAGAATACACTAAATACTCTTTGCCCTCTAGATATTTCTTACAGATCCTGCCACATTTGTACTTGTAAAACTTGCCAATTTAATAGCTATATGGATGTACTATAATTTATTAACAATCCACTATTATTCCATTATTAGCAGTTACTGCTTTTTTCCCCTATTATAAATAATGTGTCAGCAAGGCATGGTGGCACACACCTGTAATCCCAGCACTCAGGAGGCTGAGGCAGGAGGATTGCTGTGAGTTCGAGACCAGCCTGGGCTACATAGTGAGTTCCAGGGCAGTTTCAACTACATAGTGACACCCTGCTTCAAAAAACGCCCCCAAAATAAATAAATAATGTATCAACAAGTAACGTTAGATAAATCATTTTGCACTTGTGCAAGTATATAATGGAATGATTTATTCATATAATGGAAAAATTTATTTCATATATTAATACTGGAAAATTGCCTTCCAAACACACTGAACTTACTCTCCCACCAAAGTTACTATGTGACTACCAGCTTCCTTTTTCCAATAAAAGGAGCAAGCTTGCTTGCTTACTTGCTTTATTTATTTATTTTTAGGTTTTTTGAGACAGGGTCTCACTTTGTAGTGCAGGCTGGCCTTGAACTCACCTTGTAGCCTAGTCTGGCCTTAAACTTGCAGTAATTCTTCTGCCTCAGCCTCCTGAGTGGCTAAGATTACAGGCATGAGCCATCATGCCCATCTGAAAATAGCAAACTTTTTAATCTGACAATCAAATTTGCAACAAATGGTATGTCATTGTAGTACTAATTTGAAATTTACTAAAGATAATATATTCTAACTATCAACATCATTTTTACTTATTTTTCAGTGTGTCCTCAGTCTTGTCCTTTACTCATTTTCTTTTTGATTTATTGGTCTTTTACTTATTAAAGAACACATACACACATATATATGTGTGTAGGTGTGGGTATAGCAATTTTCCTTATGCTGTCATATGTATTACAAAAATGTCTCTCACTTTTTCTTAAATTTAGCCTGTAATATTTTCTATCTGCAAAAGTGCTAAATTTTAATGTTGCAAAATATATCAGGATTTTTTTTTGTGGCTCTTCTTTGCTTCTGTCATGTTTTAAAAACCTATTTATATTCAATTTTTTGCAAATAGGTCCTACATTTTTCTTTTAGTATTATTATCAGTTCACCATAAACACATATGTAAGTTTTATTTAGGATAAAGTTTAAATAATAGTTTTTCCAGGGAATGTCACTCAGTGGGAGAGCTCTTGCCTCATATGTCCAGGCCCTAAGTTCAATCCATAAAATTCCAAGAGAGGAAAAAAAAAAAAAAAAAAGGTGGGGGGAGTTTCTCCAGCCCAAATAATTAAAGAGAATCAAAAAAGCTATTGTATTCTCCACCGAACTCCAACAGACTACTTACTCATTCAAACAATTGACATTTAAAACCCAAGAAAATTCCCAGCAGAATAAAAGTGCTAAATCATTTCAAATAGATCCTGCTCAAGGTTATGCAGCTTCATTGTTGCTATATTTTACCATTCCCTAAGGATTTTTCCAGATAAAAATGTGAAATATTCAACTTGAGATTTCTACATGTCCAATGCACTATTTAAAGTAGTCTTTCCCTTAACTAATGACTAAATAACCGTTATATTCAAATTTTACATGTCATAGGTTCCTAAGAGATAGAGAGTTTTTTTTATTTTTTTTTATTTTTTGTTTTTTTTAGACAGGTTCTGGCCATGTAGTTCAGGCTGACCTTGTACTCACTATGTAGCCCATGCTAGCCTCAAATTCAATGCAATCCTCCTGCCTCAGCCTCCTGAGAGATTACAGGCATTTGCCACCACGCCCTACCTTTAAAAACAAAGTTTTAACATAATATCTAACAAGAATTCTTTCTAAACGGGTGTAGTGGCGCTCACCTATAATCCCAGTACTCAGGAGGCTGAGGCAGAAGGATCACTATGAGTTCGAGACCAGCCTGGGCTACAAAATGAGTTGCAGGCCAGTCTCAACTACATAGTGAGACCCTGTCTCAAAAAACCAAAAAAAAAAAAAAAAAAAAAAAAAAAAAAAAAAAAAAAAAAAATCCTTCTAGATATCATGTATAAAAGAATAACATGCTTATTACCAATTTATGTAATTCATAGATGATAAAATTGATAATTAAATTTAAAACTTTAACCCTTCTTCCATGAAGAAAATTATTATAAGAAAAATGTGATCCATTTGTAACCAAGTGAAAAATGTTAACTTACCATATGTGGAGCACTGATTGTTGCTTGGAAACCTGTAAAATAAGAAGAGAACTACTGATACACTCAGCAGCAAAAACATACTGAATATTTCAAGTAGTTCCTTTCCTAACATCCATACACTGTTTTTCACAACAATTCTTTTTGAGATTTTACAATCTCAAGAAAACAAAATTTGTTAGAGTACTGAAACACAGCAATTAAAATGAGAAAATACAATCATGCCAACGACTAATGTGCTCATCTAGTAAACTAGTTCTATCTTTTCTAAAAATTTCTTACTATATATAATTAGCTAAACAAGGAAGAATTTTAATGAATTCAGAATCTGTAGGGGTTTTGTAACAGTTTTTTCAGACTTATAAAAAAGAAAACAGATTTCCATATATAATTAGTATACAAAACCTTTGCAAAATTAAACTGTTTTGTATTTCTAGCAACTCTGGAAAAAAACAACCTAGACAATCAAAGTAGCTTAAGAGAGTAATAAACTACTTCAATTTGCTAAATATCATTTACTGTTAATCCACCCAATTTTTCTTAGTTTTTAGCTCTTTTCTTCCAGTATTACTTCCTCAAAATTTATTTACCTGCTTCTGTCCCTGAAGCAATTTTCACTGAGCGGTGGTAGCAGGTGCCTTCGGGGTTCAGAAGCTCCCCAGGATCTTCTTGCTGACTGTCACAGTGCTTCAAAAGAAGACAGCATGGCAGCTGGCCGACAGAATCCTGAGGCACTTCTAAGCCTCAAAGGCGCCCACTGCCAAGGCTCAGCAGTTCAGCAAAACCTGCTTCAGGAGGAGGTAAATATGGCACTTTCTAGAAACAAAGACCAGGACAAGTAAAGTCAAAAGGCCACTAATAATTATACTTTATTTTCTTTAAATATTGATTTTTTAAAAAATGAATGAAAAAAAATGCCTATGTCAAGATCAACATTAAGGCTTAAATAAAAAACTTAACATTCATCTAAAACAATCAATTTTCTCTGAAAGTCTTTTTTTTCACTGATTAAGAAAAAATTTAAAATTCTTGATTCATATTATACAGTATCAAAAATATAAATATTTCATTAAAATGAATATATCTGGGATTATGAAATTCAAAATTAGCAGGGCAATAATAGATAAATAACTGTGTTCTGGTTCTTTTTAAATTTCAAACATTGTAGAATAAATGAAGAAAAATGTAGCATTTTTAGAAATCTATCACATACCTATTGATTGTGGAGAATCCATATAAGGGTTACATTTTGCATAGTGGGAGCGGTCTGTAGCCAGCATCACTTCAAATACTTTATCTGTCTTGATGATTCCATTTTCTGAAACAAATGAGGCAAATATTTTAAGCAAAGTAGTCTCATTTTAAAAGTCATTCATAACGTAGCAAATTAAGTAAAACACCAGATTATTTTAGAAATATGACTGGCTGCACTGTAGAAACTTAAGTGAAAGACAGCAAGATTGGAAATCATTGCAACAGTGCAGGCAATGGTAACCTGGCCTTTAATGATGATACTCGGGATAGAGAAAAGCAGGATGTGAGTTATATTTAATAGGCAGTGTGGGCCAGGGATTTAGCTCAGTGGCACAATGCCTGCCTTGTAAAAGGTCCCGAGTTCAATCCTGGTGCTGGGGGTAAAAAAAATAGGTAATGTATGGACTAACTGATTGGATATGAAATTAATGGTTGAGATGAAAAAGCCATTCAATGGTTTAAGAAATCTTGGAGAAACATCAGAGTTAAGGAAGAAAAGAATAAATTAATTTATCTATTCAAGGGCCATGGATGATACAAGTCAGATGTCACATGGAGCCGGGCTCAAGAAAGAGCACTAAGACAGAGACATAAGTTTCTATTTATATAGATCACAATTAAAGTAATAGGAGTGAATTTAAAGAATCCAGGGAAGAACACATAGATAAGAAAAATGAGAGCCAACATTTGAGATACACAAAAGCAGGTGAAATCTTCAAAGATGATAAAAAGGAGAAATCAGAGAGGCAGGAAAAAGACCTGGATGATATACTGTTATAGAGCCCAAGAGAAGTTTATTTTTCAAGGAAAGTAAAGCCAATAATATATACTACTTGCCTGCCCCAACAGCTAGTTATAGCTTGAATAAATATGAAATTTCAGTAACTGTCACGGTATCTTCCATAGAGTTATTAGTCAATAAAGTTCTTATTTACTTCTATGTTTTCTGTTCAAGATATATCAAACACAATGCTACACACATAAGATAATAAACAAGATTGTCTAATTCCTGTCCTTTCAGATCTTAACATCTATAAGATTAGACACATGAACATCACTTTAACAATCCAAAAGAGTAAATGAAATTTTTACCAAAACATGTTTTGCATAATTTGCTATACTGTGAATGAGACTACTTCAGTAAAAGCATCTTGAGTAGTTTAGATATTTAGGCAAACTAAATTTAATGTATTCATTAACTGTGGATTTTTAATCTCACAGCTATCCAAAAGACCTAAACCCAAGATAAGGAAGCAGCACAAACAAAACCACACATGACCCTCGCCATCACGTTACTAGGAGACAAAAACCCAGATTCAAATTACCTGTAAGTAGAAAAACAAAAAAAAAATTGCAACAAGGTTCTCTCTACTGCTATAGACATGTGGGCACAGAAAGCAAAGGTGGTAAGGGGGAGGTTTAAGTCTTCCAAAAAAAAGAAAAAGGTGGGGGAGAAGGAAGCAGGAAAAACAGATGAAGTACAAATAAAATCACTCCCAAGAAAGAAGTTCATTAATAGAATACTGTAATACTTAGCAAAAGTCTTAGATTTAGAAATTTACAGCACTGACTATTAGAAGAATTTTAAAAGTCAGTGGGTTGGTGGACATAGTGGGTGCACACCTGTAATCCCAGCACTCTATGAGGCTAAGGCAGGAGGATCACAAGTTGGAGCCTAGCCTTGGCCATTTAGGAACTGAGTGGGACCCTGTGAAAGAAAGAAAGAAGAAAGAAGAAAGAAGAAAGAAAGAAGAAAGAAGAAAGAAGAAAGAAAGAAGAAAGAGAGAGAGAGAGAGAGAGAGAGAGAGAGAGAGAGAGAGAGAGAGAG